TGTGGCCTGGAGTCCCTCGGCCTTGATAAATGTGGCTTATATACCTGTATGTTCCCGACAGCAGTGAGGCAGCACAGGACCCAGAAAGTCTCTCATTGGCTCTTTATTGAAGGAAAAGTTTGCCTCATGATACCTCCAGTTGATTTTTCTTTTTTCGAGATTACTGTTAGGACCGAGATGGATATCTTGTCCCTGCAAAATTAAATAAGAACAGTTGTAAGCTCAGTGGGCTCATCAATCAAAAATGAGATGTGGACTATCAGTTCCAAGTGGCAGGCAGCCCCTCTCAGACTAGATTAAGCCCTTCAGGGAAAGGCAGAGATGAGCTGGCTTCAGGCACTGCTGGATCCAGGGGCCCCATCTCTTGACCATTCTGTCAAGGGTCCACTTGACCTGCAAGCTGGGGTCCAGCATTTCTACTCTGACACAAGCCTTAAACGGTCATAGGATTCTGCTGTTTTACCAACACTGACACCAAGGGGGAAACGGAGCTGGAAGTGAGACGTGGATTTAAACAAAGCCTAACGGTGAGCACATAGGTCCCAAGTTCAAGACCTGATGCTGTTACCCCTGGCTGGGTGACCTTGGCTAACTCACTTGACCTCTCTGGGCCTGGGCCCTTATGTGGGGATGGGAATGTGAGGACGTGACCCACGAGGGGGCTGGCAGCTTCGGGGACCCACAGCCTGGTGGTCACTGCAGCTTCTGTCTTCTCCTCTGCTGCCGACCGAGCAGGCAGCCCTCAGGAGGCTGTGCCTTCCCTTGGATGGAGGGACGCTGTTCCCGTGACGTTCCAGAACCCTCCTCTGCTGTTCTCCATTTTCCTCCAGAGGCTCCATGTCAATGTCCTCTTTCGCTGTCCAAGAAGCTAAAGACCATGTAGTGGAAGAAATAGGGTTTCATCTTCTGATGCATCTTCCCTCTCTTTGTTTACCAAACCGTCGGGAAAGCGTTTTCCACTCTGTGTCCTGAGTCTTCTCGTGAGTAGCTTCCTCCGCAGCGCATGCGAACTGGCGGGCAGATGAGACTCGCGCGCGGGGGAGATGGTGCCGGCCCCACAGGATGTGGACGGTGGGTTTTTTTTTTCGTTTTTTTTAAAATGATCTGTAATTAGTGGGGAAGGAGATATGTGGACTATATGAAAAATAAGCTCTTTATCTTTGAGGAGAAGCCATCCTAAAGAACAGGGACGCTGTTCCCTTTTATTTACATGAATTGCGGTAATTGGGCCTCTCGGGATTAATGGAAGGTCCCGTCGTAAATAATGCCGCCATCTGGGATAAGTGGCTGCCGCTCCCTCTGAATAGACGCCACCGAGCAGCCCCACACCATATGCTGCGTGAGCCGCCAACGTCGTTATTCAACACCGCTGTAAACGCTCCCATCACACAGCTCGACACCCTCCTGGGGTTTGAATCCGATCAAATTCTCGTTGTCGTTTCATTGCCGCGCTGCTCGGAGGCCCTCGGTGACCGCGTGGCCAGCCCGGCCAGCCAGGGGACCTGGGGCGCGGTTCAGATCGGGAACCCGGAGGGGGTCGCCGGCGACGGACCTGCCAGGTCTGTGTCTCCGCCGGCGCAGCCACGCCGGGCCCAGAGCCAGGGGCGCCGCCCGAGTGCCCGCCGGCTGCCAGCTTGCTGGGTTTCACGTTTTTAAGTGGAGGGGAGACCGTCTTTCAAAAATCACCCTTTAAAAGAGGATTCATGTCGCTGGAAACGCTGCGGCCCTCGAATCCCAGCGTCTGCCCGTGGTTTCATGGGAGCAGGGGCGGGTCCCCGTGCGGTTGTGGACGCTGGTCACGGCCCCCCCCTCCCCCCGGCCTGTGTCCCCGGACGTCACGCACAGTTTGGGGAGGGCCGACAGCCCCTGGGGGCCACGCGCCCCTCGGCTGCCTTTGCCTCCCGGCTCTCTCAGAGTGAGGCCTCGCGCCAGGGCCCCAGCGCCCTCTCTTCCTGCTCCTCCTCCAGACTGAGCTGGGGCTCGGCTTCCCTCTCTGCCAGCCCCGGGGCCCCCCTGGGCTGGGCTGCGGCCCCCCGGGTGCTGTGAGACACCTGCTCGATGCCAGGGCCCACCGCCCTCGTCCCCACTGAACCCCAGATGTCTCCAGGAGTTTCCCGAGTGACCCCGCAGCAAAGTCGCCCCTTATTTTCAGAACCGCTGGCCAAGGCCTGTGTGTAGCTGAGCCAGAGGCTGACCAGGCCTGCGATCCCCTCTGGGCTCCACTGGACATGGGCAAACTCGACGCTGGCCCCGTCCACCCCGACACTGACCCCCAAGGCAGCCACACTGGCCACGCGGCACAGGCGCCCGCGCCTTGCCTGTGCCATCTCGCGGCCTGTGGTCCCTGCGGCCCGGCACGGCCTCGCGCCCGGAAGTCGCAGATGCTGGCGTTTGGCTTCTTTGCTCAGGGTTGGAGGGGCCTGAGGCCCCTGAGAGAGGACGGGGTTCTCCCCAAGACGGCCCTCCCGGGCTCCGCGGGAGAAGCGCCTGCGCGCAGAGCAGTTACTGCCGGAGATCGCAGGCCACGCGGTGTAATTGCAGCAGAGGGTGCTGGGGCTGGTTGGGGAGAGGCGCTGAAGTCCACCCGCTATCAAGGTGCCTTTGTCTCCGAGCACAGCAGCAGTGGCCCTGTTTCCCAGAGGGGCGCCGTGTCTGGTGGGGGTTAATAAATCACAAACGGGAGAACACTCCAAATGCTGGGGTGGCTTGTGTCCCAAGTCGGGGGAAGGCCAGGCAGACCCCTGGGGTAACCCCCACCGGCCCTGGGCAGGGGACTGGGCGGGTGTCTGATACCTGGAAGCATGGAATACCCCCTTCCCTGGCGTGCCCCCCATTTTCCCCAGAACCGTGCTGATGCCCATTTTTTCACATTTCCGCTGGGAGAAGGGTCAGAAATCCCCAGCGTCGCCAGGTGTTTCTGGGAGGCAGAAGCCCCCGTCGCTGAGAACCCCGAAGTTCATGTTCTTCTCCAGAGCCAGCTGGACGGTGGGCGGCCAGGATGTGGAGGGAAGCCTGCTGGGGGAGGTCCTGCCTCGGCGGGGCCTTGGGGAGCATGCTGCCCTGGTTCAGAGAGAAGTGGGTGAAAATGGAGGAGCTGGCGCAGCTAGAGAGGGGGTGCAGGGAACCTGGTGACCAGTGACCCCGAACACGGCCTCGGGCAGAGAACAGGGCGCTGAGGCTTCTCTGGAAAGCCCTCCTGACAGCCCAGTTGTTTGGCTGCAGCTCCACAGGCAGCTTTGATCTGTTCACCAGAGCCCAGGAGGGATTAGGGCAGCCTCTGGAGCGGAGCGGCGTGCCCTTCCGCACGTGCTGGGTGGGCGTGCCCAGTGGGCAGAGGGGAGGCAGAGGGACAGAGCAGAGAGGACTCCCAGACTCACTCTCCACAGATAGAGTCTCCTGGACAGGTTTGAAAGCTCAGGCCAAGGAGCCAGGCTGCTTAGACTTGCCGACTTAGCAATGGGACCGCGTTAGCCCCCTGGGCCCTGAGGGGTGCCCCAGCCATGGACGTACAGGCCCAAGGGGGAACTTGAGGTAGGGCAGCCTTCAGGCAGCAAGGAGCTGCTGGTTGTCCTACAACCGATGTCGGTGATGGGCACAGGGGAACCTGCGCAGGGCATCGGCCCCACCTGGGTTCTTCTGAGGTGGGCCAATGAGCAAATTAACATCAGACAAATTAGTGGGAGAAAAGTTGGCTCACACTAACGTGGTTGTAAATTCTAAATAATGGAACAAACTGGAGGTGTTTGCCCTGCATTTAGACCTCGGGCATGAGGGCCAAGAGGGGAGACGTCACGTGGCAGACAAGGTGACCTCATCGTCACTCTGAGAGTACAGGTGGCGCTCTCAGGTGGAGAAGACATGTTCACCGGGGAACCACACCCTCCTGCCGGCACCCCAGCCACATCCTTCTGAGTCTGAAAAAGGGGGAGCAGCGATTGCTTCCCCAATGAAGAAAAAGGCCAAAGGAGAAAAGCCTCACTGCTCTCACCTTAACGTAACCTGCATTCTGAGCCACCATGATAGACCTTCCCGTGGCCCCACGTGGGCAGGAAAGTGGGGAAATGAGGGATGTTCCTTCCTGCCTCTGGGCTGACCTCCAGCCCTGGTAGGCAGCCCCCACCTGGCTGCAGTCCTAGCCAGTGTTTCCCCACCCCAGTGCCCTGAGGGTCAGGCTGCTGAGCGTCTTCTGCTGCCAGGTGGGCCAGTTCCTCCCGAGTGCTCAGAGATGCTGGAAACACAGATTCTCCCCAGATGTTGCAAATGCCTCCTGTCGGTCATGATCTTTTCAAATACTGTGGGCAAAATAAAATCCATTTCAGCACGAGTGAGCCCTTGGCCATGCCTCCTAGATCACCCCCTTTCTTTTGACCTGATCGATGATAGGTTTCACCCCGTGAAAGATTTTAAAATACGTTTATATGAGCAAATGTATCATTTTTTAAAAAATTGCGTTCAGACATGGAGCCATAATTAGAGAACGTTTTCTACATGCACACCAGAGAAAGTCACCCACTTTTTTCCTCTCAGTACTGAAGCTTTCTCATCTCCCTAAATCTGGATCACAGCCACCTGAGTGGTGTGAGGTAGGGATGGGATTTTATCCTTTTCCCGAAAGGTCAGTGGATTCTCCCAGCTCCATTAATTACAGTCTGCCTTGGCCTCAGGGTTTTGGGGGTCACTTTTGGCGCATCCTGAATTTCTGTCTGGACATGGGTTTATTTATTATTCCATTGTGCTGTTTTCCTCCTCATGTACCGGTGCCACGCAATTGAGTAATAGACAGACCTGCTTGCCAGCATCCTGTTACGTTCAACTGGGTGAATCTGTCTCTCAACATTGCCCCAGTCCTCACACATGTGTCACGTGGGGCTGATGCCCGGAGTGGGTCGTCCCAGCCACACGGGCACCAGCACACCCACCCGGTTCCCCAGTCGCTCTGGATCCAGTCAGTTCCAAGGTGCCCACGAGTAATCCCACTTTTGTCTTTTTCTTCCTTGCAGTGATAGAGGGCCGTGGCGTCACGGACAGCATGCAGAGATTGTCCTCGCTGCCCCCATACCTGCCAGTGAGCTACCACGTCCTCCGAGCGGAGACCTCCTTCTTCCTGAAGGAGACCAGCCAAGACCCCCAGCGCAACTGCAGCCTGCAGACCAGGGTGGAGTCCTTCTTCACCTACAGGGCCCAGCGGCCCCCCATCCTCAACGCCACCCTTGGGCCCTTCTCCGTGGAGAAGGCAGTGCCTCTGGACTTGATGGCCACTTCCAACTTTCTCGGCCCGACAGACACGTTTCCTCTCAACTGGCGGCTGCGCGCCCACATCCTACAGGACAAGGTCTACCTGAGCCGGCCCCGCGTGCAGGTGCTGTTCCACCTGGTGGGCCGGGACTGGGCCGAGCGCGGTGCCAACGGGGAGGCGCTGCCCTGCCTGCGGCTCTTCGCCTTCCGGGAGACCCGCGAGGTGCGGGCCAGCTGCCGGCTGCAGGGGGCGCTGGGGCTGTGCGTGGCCGAGCTGGAGCTGCTGGCCGCCTGGTTCGGGCCCCCGACGGTGGTGGCGGGCCGGCGGAAGGCGGGGGTCCCGCCCGAGGGCAGCCCCGTGGAGCTCTACTACAGCCTGCAGCCGGGGGACGCGCGGGGGGGCTGCGGCGCAGGGGGTGTCAGGAAGGGCAACGCCATCCGCCCGGGCAGGGGCGGCCTGGAGGATGCCACGGGCCAGCTGCAGAGGATCGGCCCCATCGGCCTGTTCCGGGGCCAGGACAGCGCCCTGCTGAGCGAGCTGCACTTGGACAGCAATGTGGCCATCCGGCTGCCCACCAGGCCCGTCAAGCAAGGGGACGTGGTCACTGCCTACGTCACCATCGCCAGCAACTCCTCTGTGGACCTCTTCATCTTGAGGTAGGCTCTCGACCCGGTGGCCTCGGCTGGCCTGGCATGAACGTGGCACGTGGGGGGAAGCGTGGGGTGGAGGGGGCAGGCTCCGGAGCCCAGGGGAGCAAGAGTAGGCTAGTCCCCTCCTCAGAGCCTGAGTCCTGGGGTGTTCGCCGGCTTTGCTTTGCTCAGGACGCCCAGGCGCTGGTGCGTGCTGACGAGGCTGCTCAGGGAGGAGACGTAGCTGTCGGGAGCCTCCCGGGGCATGTGATGGCGCCAGGGGGCCGGCTCCTTTCCCTTCCGTGTGGCGGCTCACGTGCTGCGGGGAAGACGGGCGAGTGGGCGGTGAGTCCGGCTCGGCAGTGAGGAGGGTCTCCCGGCAGCACTACAAAACCTAAAGTCAAGCAGCAGAGGAGCCGAGCCGTCAGGTGCCCAGCTCGGAGACTCGTGACAGGGTGGTGGTGCTAAAGTCTGGTGCCGGGGTGTCTGCTATCTGGGGTGCCCAGGCCTGGGGGACCCGGGGGCAAGTCCCCTCCAAACCTGCCCCAGAGCTTCATGATAATGAAAACGTGTGTGACTGAGGCTGATTTCAAGGGCGAGAGGCCGAAAGCCAGGTCTCGTTCCCATTCGTGAGCAGGGCTTGGTTCTGAGGCAGCGAGGACGTGGTTTTCTTTGAAGAGTAAAAAAGTAACGACCCCATGTTGAGTGAGTTGCTGGGGAAATGGTGCCGAGGGGAATCACAGCTGCTCCACGTGCTTTGTTCGGGCTGAGCGTTTGCGCGTGGCTTGAGGTGGGTCTTCGGAGAGGTCTGGGTCGTGCGCGTGCAGCGACTGGAGGTGTCCCCCGCGTCTCCGCCCTCCGGGCCGCGCCGTGCCCTCCGCCTGTCTGGTCGTCATGATCATCCTCATTTTTCTTTTCTGAGTGGACTGATTTTACCGACTCCTCCTCCTTTGCCCTGGTTCTGGGACTGGACAGGAGGCCTTTATGCTGTCGTACTCAGCGAGGTCATGGTCCTACCTGTTTGGTTTTTTTTAAGATTTATTTATTTATGCACACAAGAGCTGGGGTGCAGGCCAGAGCTGAGGAGGGGGGGTGAGAGGACTCCCCAGAGACAGAGTGGGGAGCAGAACAGGCGGAGCCACTGAAATACGCTGCTGAGGGGACCAGGGGGAGACAGGAGAGTCTGCGGCGCCCTGTGGGTAGCTCCCTGGCCGGGGATTGCGCTCATGATGCAGAGGCTGCCGATAGCTTCACAGTGCTGTGCTTAACCCCGTGTGGCACCAGGGAGTCCCCAAATCCTACCTGTTCCCTGCGGTGTGAAGTGGGCCTTCTGGGACATTCCGTCGTGGGTCACAGTCCGCCGCTGGCCACCGGGTACCTGCCGCCGACATTGTGGTAAGGACACCGGCCACTTTTAAGTGCCATGACCGTACCCGGGTGCCAGGACATGGACATCTAGAGGAGGGCAGCCAAAGAGCTCTAGTTCCAGAGTCCTCGCGGTCTCCATCTGCGTCCAGCCTTAACAGGGAGCGGGCTCCGAGCGGCCAGGGTGGGCCTGACCGAGGTGCCGGCCCCGCCACCCAGGGACGGGTCTCCCACGCAGGAGGCCTGAGAGCTGGCCCCGGGTTGGGGGGGGCTGCCTTGTGCATTGTCGCCACCCGGAAGGCGCGGTGCGGGGCTCAGGGGTTCCTGCACCCACCGGCCCTGGCTCTGACCCGTGGCTCTTCTGGTTGTGCGGCAGGCAAGTCCCTGGCTCCGTGCGCCTCAGTTTCCCCGCCTGTAAGGCAGCGGTGATGGCCGCACCTCCCGTCACAGGCTGTGGGGACCCCGTGGGCTAAGGCTGGTTCGGGAGGTGCTCGCAGCCGCATCTGGCTCCGAAAAGCCTCGCGTGAGAGCTGCGCGCTGCTGAGAGAGCTGTTTCCAAGCAGCCATCAGAACTTCAATAAGCACTGAATTCTGTCTCAGCGGGAAAAGGCGTCGTGCCTCGTATGAAACAACAGCCACCGGGTTTATCCTCAAAGCAGTATTGATTCTCACTTCTCTGTGATTTTGTTTAAAGAGCAATTTTTTTTTTATAACAAGAGCTTTTGGAACACAGAGGGTAGTAGCAGCATGTTCCGGGGTGTGAGACACCCAGATGAAAGGGTGTCGCCTGCTTCCAGCAACAATGGAAAACAGCCAGCCCGGCGAGGAAATGAGCAGAAGACCCGAAGAGGCGCGTCCCTGAAGGCGGCGGTCGGAGGCCGCGCGCACGGGAGCAGGCGCCCGTCCTCCCTCGTCGCGAGGAGATGCCGATCGGAGCCGAGTGGGGCCTCCCTCCGTGTCAGAAAGCCCCTCCGCGGGGTGGCGTGGCGCTTCCTTTAAAAACCGAAACTAGAAATAACCGAGAGCCCAGCGAAGCCACTGTAGGTATTTGCTTGAGAAACATGGAAACGCTGACTCGGACGGCGGCTCTGCGGCCCGCAGTGGACCCACGCTGGCCAGGACGGCGTCAGCCTCGGTGCCCGGGTGGGCGCGTGGGTGCAGAGCGAGAGCGAGGGAATACCACTCAGCTCTAAAAAACACGCGCTCTGCCGCGGCACGGATGAGATTTGCCGTGATTACGTCAAGCCGAGTGGGAAAGTGAACTCTGGCTGCTGGCTGGCGGTTCTCAGCCGCGGGCTATAAATCATGCTAACAAAGCACGACACAAATAACTCACAGGCTCTGGAAAGTAGACTGGTTATGGGGGGCCGTCAGGGAAAGGGGTGAGCGGAGAGGGCAGAGGGCCGAGTTAATATGGGAGTTAGAATCTGGCGGCGGGCCTCCCTGGTGGTGCAGGCGGCTGAGTGCAGCGCTGTGAAGCTGCCCGCAGCCTCTGCAGCGCAGGTGCATCCCGGCTGGCCAGCGAGGGTCCCACATGGCGCACCAGACCTCTCCTGGCTCCCTGCTTCTCCCCAAGAACTGGGGTACAGGCCAGAGGTGTGGGGGGTGAGAGGACTCCCCATAGACAGGGTGGGGAGCAGAAGAGGTGGATCTACTGAAACACACTGCTGAGGGGAGCAGCGGGGAGACAGGAGAGGTCTGGGGTGCCTGTGGGTAGCTCCCTGCAGTGGCTGTGGGTAGCTTCATAGATTGTGTCTTAGCCCCTTGCGCCACCAGGGAGGCCCTGAGGTGGTTTTAGAGGCCTAGTTTAGAAAATAAAAAATAAAACAATTACCAACATAAACAGCACATAACCGAATCTATTTTTGCAAAAACTGCAAGTATGTCAGTCCCCTGGGTGGAGACCCCGCCCCTTGGCATGTGGCTAAGCACGGAATAAAGTCGCGGAGAACATTTACAGAATTAAAGCAAGCCCAGCCCTTGGCACCAGGCGTGTATCTTCAATTAAGGGTTGTTTTCCACTGATGTTTCCTCCGTGGCTGACGGGGATGTCCCGAAACAATTACCGAGAGCTCCCCCCCCCCGCCCAGGTTAGCCACCCACGCGCCTCCTCCGGCATTTCAAGATCCCCTGCCGACCCGGGCTGTCGCAAACGCGCCGCGGCCACTCCACGTGCCCGTGAGGGCCTGAGACACCCGGGACATCACCCCCGACCCGCCGCGACTGCTGCCTCAGAGCCCCACAGTAGACTGAGTTTGGGGGATCCTCTCTGCGGTGACGCCATCCGCCCCCAACCGCGATTACGAGTGGGTGGTGCTGTCCGGGCCTGCGCGCCTCAGAGCGGGGAACCGGGAGATCGGGGCCGGTCGTGTCTGAAGCCCCTGAAGTTGGTTCTCGGGAAGCCTGACGCCCCTCGTCGTGGAAACACGTAACTCGCAGGAGTGCAGGGGATCTGTTCTCCCGCCGCTGAGACTCGGGTGGGCATTAGGCCTGCTGGGGGCCAGAGCCCCTCCCGGCAAGGGAGCGAGGCCCCCCCAGCGCTCGCACAGCAGCACCCTGTCCCTGGGCCTCGTCCTGGAGGACACGGTCGGCTCCGCCGGCCGCTAGGCCAGGACGCTGCTGCTTGGGCCGCCTGCGCCTGGAGGACGCGCGGGTCGTCCTTGGCCTCCAGCCACGCGACGCCAGGGGCCCCTCTCTCCCCTGCGGGCCGTCCTGGCTCCAAGCAGCGGGGTGAGGGGCGGCCCCGGTTCCCCCGGTGGTTGGGGGTGCGTGAACACATCCTTCCTGATAGACACCGTGGGCCGTGCTCGGGGACACCCAGCGCACGGGGGTCCACAGCAGCGTGTTCCTAACACCCCGTCCTGGAAGACCCCAGGCGTCCACTGGTGGAAAGTGACGAAGGGGGATAAGGTCCCCGACATGGGAAAGCGTGCGGCCACTGTGAGTAAGTGCCATGGCCTGGGTGGACCTGGAAAGCGGGGTGCTCGGTGGGGGGCCAGGCCCGAGACCCCTCTCGGGGGCTGCAGGTAATGGCTGCCTGGGCCGGGAGGATGCCAGCGCTGAGGCAGACTGGGGGTCACCAGGAGCCGGGAAGACAGGTGGCTAGTGGGGAATGCTATGGGGGTGTTTTGGGGGTGATGAAAATGCGCCAGAAATTAAATCGTGGTGACAGTTACACAACTTTATGGATATGCTCAACCCCACGGACACGAGACTTAAAGTAATGAACCAAGAAGATGCTCCAGAAATGTCATGGGCGTGAAGACGGTGACTGGAGTGGGGGACAGGGTGGCAGAGATGGGGAGTGAGTGGGAGGCAGAGACAGTCCTCTGAGGCTTTCCCCACCAAGGTGCCCACCCCTAGCCGCGTCCTCAGATCCCCCCAGAATGCCCCTGCCGGTCACACTCGGTGTCTGCTGGGCACTGACCCACCCTTGGAAGCACTGCTGCCTCTCCGCCTCGGGAGGAGGCCAGCGCAGGCCGGCCAGCTGCCAGCCCAGGCACCGGTTGAGGCACAAACCCAAACACCACATCCAAGAGCTGGGGCTCGGGAGGGGATCCTTCTGAGAGTCGGGGAGCCCCAGGAGGCGACTTGAGAGCCCCCATCCCAACCAGCCAACCCCCCAATGTGCCGTCGTGGGCATAACTTCTGCTGCCACTCCC